TTGAGGGAGAAAGAGTAAAGTGTATGCAAAAAGAGAGAGAGAACGTGGTTAGTCAATTTTACTATGATTATGTGAGAGAAAAGACTAAAAAGGAGAGAGAAAATTATTATTTAGCATATATGGTGCCTTAAATGTAGGATGTAACTATAATTAGATATTTGACTATAAAGTATAAAAGGTATCTATAGGATGTAATATTTTAAAATGGTATTTATTTAAAATAAATAGGGTACTAAGGTTTTCTATAGGGTGTAAAAATTCCTAAAACTAATAGTATCAAATTATAGCCCATCGGATAAAACCAACACACAAAAAACAAAAGTCAAAAGTAAATTTTGGTACTAACTTTTTTATCTCCCCTAGATATTTTTCCTTCCAAATACCAAATTGTTTTCTCTTTCTTATTTTTTTTATCTTCCCTAGATATTTTTCCTTCTCAATACCAAATTGTTTTCTCTTTCTTAAGTATCACACTTGACTTTTTACTTTTTTTAATATTTTTTTACTTCTTTTCTTCAATTCTTGTAATTCTTAACACCTTTTCCCTCGCTTTATTCTTGTTAACAGTACTACTAAAAATCTTTGATTGAACATAAAACGTTATTTAAAAAAATCAAGATTTTTTCATCAGCTAACAATTATTTTACTATTTTCCCAACAGTAATACCTTATTACATTACAATTAAATCTTTGATTCAATGGAAAACAATAAAAATCAAGACTTCTTACATCAGCTTTAAAAACTATCAAGTGTTGCTCCATAACCAAACAAAGGAGTGGAGCTTCTTTTTACAATAAACCACGCGCCAATCTTTTTTTCCCTTCCCTCCAAAAGGTTTTCTTTTTTAGGAATTCTCACACATAATTAGTGGTGATTTTCATCTCCTTTATTTAGTTAATTTCCAAGTCCGACTTAGTCTTTTTCAATCATATAAGTGGAAAAACAATAGTTGAGAAAAGTTCAATCATATATACATGTATAAAGTGTGTGTGCGCGCATATATATGTATGTATAAAGTTGTATATTATAGTTTTGCAGAAAAGTTTATATATATATATTGCAATGTATAAATATTGTATCCTAAGTTCGACAGTGTATCCTTAGTGTATATTGAGCCTATCCCGAGTGTGCTTGTGTATCTAAAGTGTATATATCTGTGTACCCCAAATGTATTTTGTATCATGAATGTATAATCTGTCGGAACAATGTATCAAAATTGTATATACATGTGTATTTTCTAATATGTAAACATAGTGTATATAAATTATATACACATTTTGTATGTGTAATGTGTGCAAACTGTGTATTTAGAGTGTATCATGTATTTTTGTATAGTGACAGTCCTTTTTCTATATATTTTGTATAATTACATCTATTTTGTATATATTTTGTATATTGACAGTCTATTTTGTATATTTTTTGTATAATGACAGTCTATTTTGTATATTTTTGTATAATGTCAGTCTATTTTGTACATTTTTTGTATAGTGACAGTCTATTTTGTATATTTTTTGTATAATGACAGTCTATTTTGTATATTTTTGTATAATGTCAGTCTATTTTGTACATTTTTTGTATAGTGACAGTCTATTTTGTATATTTTTTGTATAATGACAGTCTATTTTTATATATATTTTGTATAGTGACAGTCTATTTTAGTATATCTTGTGTATAGTGAAAGTCTATTTAGTATATACATTGCATAAAATTTGTATATAGGGTGTATCACTGCATCTTCCAATGTATCCATAATATATCATTAATGTATCCCGAGTGCTTTTGTGTATCCAAAGTGTATAGACTGTTCTACAATATATAAATTTTGTATAATTTAATGTACTAATTTGAATCTTGTTAGTACCATCTTGAAACCCTTTGCAAAAAACAAAACATAACACCCAAAATGAAAATGAAAAAATATCTGACTTTAGCATTATTATAAGCTCAAAAGGCTGAAAAACAGACCTGAAGACAATAGTTCGATTAGAAGGTCTGCCATTGGATCTAACAGTAGCCTAATAATACCAGAAGCAAAATTAGATCATAAAAAACTGTTTTTTATTGTTTTAGAAATTCTCTTTAATAACAGTAAGAAAAAATTGGAACAAAAATGAAGGGATCTTATGAGCTGAAAGTAGGTGGAATGCTTAAGATGGGAATTGGAGCTGAGGGACTTGAGAAGAAGCTGCTTCCATGGCGCTGTTGCAGATCTACTCATTTTCGAATTATTTTTTCAAATTCTGAGGAGAATTTTTGTATTTTTGGCTGCTGAAGTAAACTGCAATTTTATCTATTCTCCATTTTTCAACAATTTTGCTTACTATTTTCAGGTTTGACTATGGCGGATGAAAACATTACCAATGGCGAGGTTTATGACGATGCGCCGTCGACGAAACGTTCGATGCTGCGTCAAAAACCTTTGCACTGAAACAGAAGATAGCGGCATTGGAGCAAGAGAAATCCCAGCTTCTTCACGAGAACGATGTGATCAAACAGAGAATCGAGAAACTGAAGAGCTCAATCGAGGAATCACAGAACAAAAATTGGAATTGCTGAATAAAAAAGCAGAAAATAGTACTTTTGGGCTAGCCACTGGAATTTGGACTATAAAATGTGTATTGTAATTTTGGGCTACCAGATATTATAGGTTTGGCCCGAATGGCTATAAATGTTATTTGCTCAATTTGTGGATCCATCAGGCTTGGCCTCATTTTAACTCGCGGAGTGGTAATAGTTTTTTCAACAACGAATTTTAAAAAGCGGAGACAAAAGCTAAATATTGGCACGTTGGATAATTCTTCAACAGTGAAAATATTATTGCTTTGAAAACCTCTAAGCTCGGATTATTATACATAGTGTAGTTCTTAAAAATTATAAAAATAAGATAAAATAATACTGCCATTTTTTTCTTATTTGTCCATTAAAAAAAATAATGAAATCTTTTTATACTTGAAATAATTTAATTTTAAATTTAAATTTACTTTTAATGATATATTTTTATAGCAGCACAACTATCATAACATGTATAAAACTACAAACTCAAAAAAGTTTGTTTTTCTCTTAACTCCGTAAACAAATACTGCTACATAAACTGAAACAGATGAAACATTAATATGAGGTGATGACAAATATTATGTGTTAGTCTTAAAGGAGCCAAAACCAAATACCAAACAAAGAAAAGGACAGGATCCTTATTCGAGGCAGATGTAGGGTAGGGTTGTGCATAATTTGGTAAATATAGAATGACCATTCCGAAATAAAAAAAATTTGATGTTTGATATTTGATATTTTAGTATTTGATAAATTTTAAAAAAAAATTGGTATTAGGTATGGTATTCGGTATTCAAAATTAAAATGTCAAAATATCGATACGTACAGAAATATATATTAAGTTACATAACACATATTATTAATTATAACATAAATATTAAAGTTCTAAATTTTACTTTCCGTTAATTTTTATAGTTCTCTTTAACCTTTACCACCTTTTATTCCCATTACACTTGCCTTTCCCCCTTATCTTTTGGTTGCCTCCTTACGTTTCAATCTAGGTTTAACATTTTTGTTTTTCATTTTTTTATTTTATATTATACTCATTTTTATTTTTGTATTTGTGTATGCCTTATTTAAGAATATTACAGTCTATGACTTTATGCATTAGTTAATATTCGAGCTAAACAAAATCGAAGTTACCAGACCGAATAAACCGAAATCTAAAGAAGAAAAGCTTAACCATACCAAAATTTAATTAGGTATAATATTGGTATAGAACTTTAAGAAATTAAATACCGAAACGAAATATCTAAATAACAAGCACTGGTTCATCTGAACCCAGTGCTTTCAATACATAGCATAAATTATATGTAAAAATTTGCTAAAAATAATAGGCCTTAACCCATAAGTTTAAAATATAATGAGCTTAATGCTTAAAACTTTTAAGAGCTAATCTATAAAAAAAAAAAACTATAAATTCAAATCTTATCCAGGCAGGCTATTAGTATCCCCTTTTGGCAGCTCACTTTTCTTGACTATAAGTCTAACACTTATCAGCCTCAAAATTTTCTTCTTGTTGACCAGTCTTTTTGGTCACTTAAATATCAATATCACAGTCTTCTTCTTCTTCTTTAAACACAATACAGAGAAAAAGCAATGACTACAAAGTCATTAACTACTTTTACAATCTTGCCCGAGGGCTGCATATCAGAGATCATATCGCTCACAATTCCGGCGGACGCTGCAAGATCATCGGCTATCTCAAGAGGATTCAAATCTGCAGCAGAGTCTGATGTCGTTTGGGATAAATTTCTGCCGTCCGATCATCTAGATATAGTTTCAAGATCAGTTTCTGTTGTTGTTTGTGATAGCGAAAAAGACCTTTACTTTAGACTCTCTCATTCTCCTATCCTTCTTCATGAGGGCAGACTGGTAATTTTTAGTTGCCTTTTCTTTGTTTCTCTTCCATGTGACCTTCTCCGAACTCCGCTAAGAGCTTAATGTCCCGGGCTTGCCCTTATCCACTTCCATTTGATGTGATATTTTTCCAAAAAAGATATATATATATATNGTTCGGCGAAGGGGTTCGGTCAAATATATAAAAAGGGGGTTCGGTTAAATAAAAACAATACTATTATTTTATATTTGACTTGATACTTTTTTAGCAGAGTTTTTGGCTTGAGAAAACAAGTGGGAAGAAATTTTATCTACTATCTGCAAGGCGACTGGTAATTTCTTTTTCAGACATACAATTATTCTGGGACCATCTGACACCGATTCAAGGTATTTACTCTGCCTCGTTAAAATATAAAATTGGTTACTCCATGTGATTTTTGAATATATTTTGAATGGACTTTACAATTTACAGTTTGACATGCTCTATTGATATTCTAGTAGATGTTAGACTATTTTGTTATCCGAGGAAGGTAACAAGAAATGTTTTACAACCGTAATAAAACATATCAAAAGTGTCTTACTGTTAAGAAGCTTTTGTAGGTGTAAAATGAACGGGTTACAAGTTTGGGGATGAATTAAACGGTTGATTCAACACGTGAGCTATGATCCAACTTTTCTAAAGGTCAAAAATGAGTTGGGTTAAGATAAATTAACTAGTGGCGTAACCTGACTCCTTTATATCAAATTTGGACACTTTACATTTTTATTGAGTCAAATAACACTTTTATGTTCAACTTTCTCAAACATTGCGCATCAATGCATGAAGAAACTCAGATAACAGAATTGAGAAGAGAGGAAATGAGAGCAACAACCGATTCCAATTGCTTAGAATGAATTATCGGAAGAGATTCAACTCTATTTATCTAACTAATCAACTAACTGACTAACCGACTAATACAACTAAAATCCAGCTGTACAAATTAACTCTCAGTAACTATTAACTAAGGTTACCTACTAACCACTGTTAACCATCTGTCAGAATTTGCTTAGATCAAAATGAGTGTTTTATTGTCCTCCCTGGAAGCTATATACTAACAGTGGCGGATCCGCCTTATAGTAAGGGGTTCAGTTGATTCGTCGAAAAAATTAAATATTCTATCGTATTAACTTCTTCAGAAAATCATGAAAGCAGATAATATTATAAAACATGAACCCACTTGACACAAATGAAAACCGCAGCGGCAAAGAGGGTTCAATGACTTTATTAAAAGTAATTAGTTTTTTTTTAAAAGAAAATTCTCAACTTTGATTAAAAAAGAGAGTTAAAGACTTTATTTTGAGGTCACATGATAAACAAAACTGAGTAGAGAGCAAATTCTATTTATCGATGCTTCTTATACAAAACTGGGACCGCCACTGTATACTAGTAAGGCTTCATTTGCTATTATAATTTTAATTTCTTAGATACCAATTTTCAGAAATTAAATCATCATATATAACCTTAGATGGTTACTATAAGATTCACAATATGTTTTACAGCAGCTCTGTTGTTGAAATTTCATACCTTCAAATTAAACTTAATTTTTTTGGTACAATATCTTCAAACTAAATACAAAACTAGAGATTCTATTTGAGGTAATATTTCTTCAACTACAGATTCCCAGAAGTAGCATTCCTCAACACTGTTGATTTACTAGATATCCGAGGTAAGATTGGAACTCGAGCGTTATCTCTGGGAACAAAATATGCAGCTTACCTAGTGTTCAAAATATCAGAGAGGTACCATGGCCTTGAATCAACAAATGCAATGGTTAGATTTGTTAATAAAGAGAGCGAAGACGAGGCTGAAAAAAGAGCTATGACTGTTATTCTTGCAGCAAGAGCGCCGAGGCATTTTAAAAGGAAAATTACCAGAAAAACGAACAGATGGATGGTTAGAGGTAGAAATTGGAAATTTTTACAATGGTGAAGGAGATGATAATGGTGATGTAGAAGCAAGGTTGTTGGATTCTAGGCCTTTTCATGCTAAGTGTGGTCTAATCATCGTAGGCCTTGAGTTTCGTCCAATATGATCAGCATTAGAATGACAGATTCAGAATTTGAAATTTATGAGCCTCAAGTTAACACTATAATAATACATGAGTTCACATGCAACTAGTTAGTGGATTATATATATACTAGTTTTTATGTTCGTGCGATGCACATGCATATATATATACTAGTTTCTCGGCACGTGCGTTGCACGTGTATATCAAATCATGTAGTACACTTATAAAATACTACTAATAAGTATTATAACTAAAAAATATTATACATGAAAGTATAAAATACAAATTTTAGCTGTATACATTGCACCAATAGTGATAAGGATGGCGGGAAATTAAGAATTTCATTTTCCACCAGGCAGCTATTAAGAGAAATACAAAGTTAGAGAATACAGTACCCTCTATACCGTAAAAATCAAGATCAAAAGTCAAGAGCTATCAAACCTTTTCTATCTAATTCAGTAGCCTTGAGAATTCTTCTCATATAAATATATGTAGTTGGAACTGGCTATTAAATTGCACTATGTTGAGCATCATTGTTTCCTACAAGAATATAATTTTACTAATAGTTTGAAGGTACTGGAAAATGTAGACATAGACAGAAAATCCTTAGCTACCATTTCAAGAATCTCTTTTCTTGTGTATGCTTTATCCGAAATACGGTTGGTCGGCTGCAACCCTGAATATAATAAAACACTATTTAGTCATATCAAAGGCATGCAATTGTTGTTAAACTCTAAATCAAAACAACACTTCGATCAAACATGCATATGTGTCAGAAACCATATTATAAAGACCTTAAGAAACTGCAAGAATTATTTCATCAGAAATCAAAATTTTTAACCTTGAAAGCATGCAAGCAGTATGACCCAAACTACATTAGTTCTGTCCATTGAAAAAAAAAAACCACTGACAAAACCATTTAAACTTACCATATCAATACTGTTAGCGGAAACGTAAAAGAACACAAGATTTAACGTGGTTCGGATCAAAATAATCCTACGTCCACCAGAGAACAGTTACCTTTTTATTATTAACAAAGGAAGGGGAGAGTTCCCAATTACACTTGAGAGAATTTCTCTCTTAACTCTCTGCTCACTGCAATGTATTGTATTATTTTTGGGATGGTTTCTACAAATGAAGCAGTGCATCTATTTATAGAGGTAAAGACCTCCTCTTGATGTCATTGGTGACATCAAACTACCTCCTCTGGATGTCATGGATGACATCAAAGGAGGAAGCTTCCTCCTAGCATCCACACCAACTCTTTCTACCAACTCTTCCAATTGGCATGCCATTGTTGACTAAACATAAACAAACACTTTCAATCTCCACCTTGGTTTGCATTTCGAGCGTGCGTGTGAACAACTCTGGCCAAAACTTATAAGCTTACCGGGCAACCTCGTTGTAAGAAACAAGAAGAATCAAACTATTGTTAAACATACCACCTCACCTAACAACTGTTCTCTTCGGAGTTGCATCAGTTGATGCACACCCCCGCCAAGTCCTTGCAGTGTGCAAACTTAACGAGCAAGACTATCTTGGTCAACATGTCTGCAGCATTATCGTCTGTGATAACTTTCACGACCTTGATAGTTCCCTCTTCAACAACATCCCGAATAAAATGAAATCTGACATCAATGTGTTTAGTGCGCTCATGAAATCTCTGATTTTTCATT